AATTATTACTCTATACATTTACTATATGGATATTTCTCAATTATAGGCAAAAAATTCAAAGTGTCATTTAAATCTCTGTTTAAAATTGGAGATTAATTTCCATTATGTAGTCGGTTGGAGAGAACAAGGAATTCTACAGAATATAATTCAATGACTGAGGCAATTACATTTTACATATTTCCCACGGTTCTATATTTATATTAAGGATGGTTTTACGATCATATATAATGCCGAATAGGTAAATTTAACAAAATCTTTAAGAAGAAATGGTAAGGAAAATAAGGATTGTGTGTCCAAATTGGAACAATTCAAATCTATAATTTGCGAAGAATTTTTTAGTTTATGACCATAACTATAATCTACATCCATTTTGGTTTAATAGGAGTTCCTAATAATAGATTTTTTTTTTTATGAAAACCTTTTGACGTCGCCTTTAGTATCATCATAATCGGACTATTTTGTATTATTCATAATTTGTCATACAATAAAGGGATTAATTATTATCCAGTCGGATAATAATTGACCCAGCCCCCTTGTTTGTCATAGCAGAGCTTGCATATATTTTTAGTAGTGCTATTGGCAATAATGTTACTTGCCTTTCACTAATAATCAGTCGTTAATAGCTAATATTATAGAAATAGTTACTGTCATTGCAAATATTGTCAAAAAGAAAAGAATATATATTTAACAAAGGGAGAAAAAAGGAAGGTGCGGACACAACGTTGGGAAACTTGTGTGGCGCCTTAGACCTCAATAAAGTAAAATGAATGAAAGATTAGAAACAAACTATCTAGATTCCTTCACTAATAATTCAGAAAAAGCCAAGAAAACAAAAACATTATTTATCCTTGTATTCCTTTATTTCATTTTGCAACGTTTCTTGGAAAATAAGTTAATCTATCCATTCCCTATTTTGGATTAAACCAAGATGATAAAGCCAAGGAATTAAAATGGTTCTAAATAAAATTATAACCCCTCCTACCCCTCCTACTTCCTCCACATTTTAAATTAGGTATCAAAACGAATCATTGTTTAATTAGATATAACCACATTCCTTTTTGATACAATCAAACAATCATAATCTTAGAACTCGAGCTCATTCATATAAGACAAGACAAAAGATGTAGTTAACTAATCATTTCTTCTTTTCATAGCCACCTCTCCTAACATTCAACCTAATAATATCTTGCTATGCCCATAGACATCTGTAAAACACGTTAATTATAATAATAAGATGTACCTGTCATATTACAATTTAAAAATACAAACTTGATATTTTGGGAATTATACGTAATTAGTATATTTCATTCATTCCGCCCTAAAAACCTGATAGACTCTTAATTACGTAGAGATTAACTCGTACAAGTTTAAACAATGTTACATTTTTTTTACTATGAATTTAACCATCACCATCACCATCACCATCAATCGCACTGCAATTGTGCTAATGTTGTATGCTTTTTCTTAATTCATTCAGTCAATAAAGATTAAATCTATCGAACTACAGAAGGTTCTGCCCATAATGAAATTTTATTTTTATTTTCAAGTCTTTTATACGTATGATTTTTACCACAGGGAAAGAAAATATCCTAAGAAGTTGGAAAAAAATGCATACAGCAGGAAGTTTAACTACCAATTTGATCGATAGATCGATTGATTTTGATTGAATCTTCCTCTGACAAAAATATACTCACAGTTCTATATTTCTTTCTAAAAAACCTCTCCCTTCTTCCCTTGTCAAACCTCCCCCATCTTCATGAACTATATCGGCTCCCTTCTCTTCTCTTGGTCTCCCCCACCAAAGAAATGAAGTGCCTAATACCACACATTTATTATATAATTATTGACTACTTTTACAAGCACACATCTTCTTGTTCACATATTTGTACTTTCTTTGAACTTGCCTTTCACAAATTGTATCAACAATTGTGTACAGTAACTAATCATCTGTAGGGTTCTGAACTCTGTGGTACTCTGGGTTTCGAAACACTACAAATATTTCTTAATAAGTCAATCATAAAATTTGTCCTAGTTTTCGATTAAAATTCACTGCTACAATAAATTCTCAAGTTTTTCCTTAAGAGAAGGTGATACTAGAAGAAGAAATCAAGTAAAGCTTCAAGCTAGATGGTTTGAGTTATGTTTGGCAAAATCTCTGTGTAAAAATTAAAAGAAGAAAATAAAATCATCATCAAAGTTATGAGGTTCATTAAGAAACAAAGCAAGCCAATTTTAATTGGAAAAATAAGGACAAATTTCATTTTCTCACTGGAATGATAATATTTATTTTTGGCTTTTGGCTTTTGGCTTTTTTGGTTTGGGTTTGGTTTTGGCTTTAGTGTTTGCTTTTTTTTTTCCTTCCTTGGGCTGTGTTTAATAGTAGTCTTGGACAATTTCGAAGACTACAACGGCAGCAACTATACAACTAAATTAAAACATTACCAAAGTTTACTAAGTACACACGCACACAAGACACACACAGTACAGATAAAATAGAATTTTCGAAAATTATAACTACTCCTCCATATGATTCTAATTACTGTTCAAGTTCTACTCAGCATTACCAACTTTGTATCAAACATTTTTTTTTTTCATTGATAATAATAATAGAGATAAATTTTAAGTTAAATAAATTGCTTTTTTTTTGCTTATAGACTAATATATTCGGAATTCTTAAAATATTTCTCTCGTAGCTGCATGTCCTTCTCTTAGTAATTGTTATGTATATTTTTAATGAAAAATGTCTATGAAAAATTGAATTTTGCAGTTTATATAATTCCAATTTCGAGATTATTAATTTATACGGATACAACTCTACAATACATTATACTGTAAGAGAGAGTATTGGAACAGGACTTTTCCACTTTCCTGGTTTTTTAAAAATTTCTAGTTCATTTCTTCGTTCTGAAATTTCTTTTATGCTGCTCCATTTTAACCATATGTATGAATGAATGAATGTCCAAGTGAAGGAAAAAAAAATATAAATAAAATTTACTACAATATCTTACAATAAGAAGAGATGCAAAATGCGAGCTTGAGCAGTAGATATTGTGTACCACACCTATTACAATCACTACCTAGTAGTTCTAATATTTATATATATTTATATATATATATTTATATAAATACTCACACACTTATCCTTACGCAGCATATACTTACACATACACACACATAATGGAGTAGGCCAGAAGGCGTATGTACTCAACTGTGTTCTTAAATGGAAAATTTTTGTCCGTATTAGAGATTCGTTATAATAAAATGGAATAAATTTAAAATAAATTTTAAAAATCTACCAGGTTTTCTTTTAAATCAGTTTACTCTTAAACTGTTAAAAACACGTACCATTCTTGATATCTTAAAATATATAGACATACATACATACATGCATACATACATACATACATACATACATACAATACATACAATACATGAAAAATATACTAATTTAAGAGAACCGGCATTACCTATTGTCCATTGACTGTAGATGTATGTCTTACAAATGGTCACACATCGATCAATGCCCTTCTATATTTAATTTAATGTCCTATATGCCTTAATACCACTAATGCTAACAAAATTTCAAATTCAAGTACATTTCACTTTACCACATCGTTATCTATCTATGATACCGTCTTATACAACGGTTTCAACAACAGCAGTAGAATTTATAGGAGATTCATTGTGTTGATTATTATTATATTCGATTTTTTCTAATCAAATTCAATAGAATTATTTATAAATTTTGAAGGTATAGCTTAGCATACACCATTAGATGTATTATATAAATAATTTTTATATTCGATTTTATTTATATATATATAAAGAGAGAGTGTATGATGTTTTTGCGATAGGAACATGTGTCTATGTATGTCTCATTTGCTCTTTTCTCGTTTATCCACATCTTACCTCTTTATATTTTCTTATTTCATTCTTGAAACGACATATATTTATATATATATACATATAAATTAACTACTCTTTGATTTATTAACTATTTCATTCTACTATAGTTGTATTTTAATTATTTACTGTTCACTATATCATTATTATTTACAAACTTTACACCAAGAGAACAATTTAAAAAATAATAATAATACTAATAATAATTAATTTAATTTCAATAAATTAAATATTGTTGAGGGAAAATAGATATTTGCATATATCTCTATTTAACTACTCTACTTTATTCTATTTTTATTTTATTTTTTAATATCATTCTTCTTTTTTGTTACACTTTCATTAGCTAAGCAGTGGTTGATTCAATTAAGTATTATACCCACTTTTGTATTCATCCTAATACTCATCAATACTGTTTGACAAGACATTCTTTATCCCTCTTTACATTCCATATCTATTATATCTACTTTTAGTATAGAGATCAAATCTATTTTTCGAATTCTAAGCTATTTTTTCAAGAAAAAAAAAGAGTTAGAAAGGAAAAAAGAAAGTGATCTGAAAGAAATAAAGATATTATTTTAAAAGTAGTGAGTGGATTTCATATATAATCTAGCATTTTGATTTATCACAAGGACTTTAAAGATAACTAGCATAAAGTATTCATATTCAATAGTTTGTTTTCAAGATACTGTAATATTATTATAATTAAATTTTATTCTTTTTTTATAAAAAAATTTTAATTTTTAATTTTAATAACAAACAATACTGAGAAAAAAAATTCCTGATCCTCTTCCCCATATAAGCACTGTACTTTGTTTGGGACATCATTTTAATTCACGGTTTGATATTGTGAATTTTAATTAAGCAAGAGATAGATATTTTTTTTTGTTATTGTTATATTAAGAATCATAATTTTGCTACCATTAGATCTCTCGGTTCCAGTTGTGATTTTTCTTTGATACCAATCAAATTCTAATTGGAAATATAAATATCATAATTATAATCATTCAAAAGGAGTGTTAATATTACTTAACTCTATCTTTTTGAATTACTAAATTTTTTGTATTTATATTCTATTTTCATTTCTTTATTTGTCATTAATGTCTGTTACTGCTAAAATTCAATCTCAGATCAGTTATCCAGATCACAGTGGTATGAACCTTACTGATAGAATTAATCAGAAAAGATCATCTGCAAGTGCATTAGATGAGAACGTCAATTTACAGCAATTAAATCATTCTACTCAATCACATTACGAAGATCCAGCTACAAGTACATATTTAAGGCATACAAAAAAATTAAGATTGACTAATAATATTTCAAATCAACAGCTACCTATTTTAGACATTGGCAACAGATCTTCTAATACTTCTCCATATTTAAATAATAAAAATAGCATGAAATCAATTATTGATGATCAACAAAATTATACAACTTCCCACCATCCTAAAGGTGGGATGGCTATTCCACCAACCACTACACCTCCAACAACTATAACTCCAACTGGAACTAATCCTCCAAATTCAGCACCTTGTATGATTGGTATGCATTCTGTATCGAATGATACTTCAGCTCATATTAATTCTTTATCTGTTCCACATCAGCCAATCCCAATCCAAGCTACTTCTGTTAGTAAATCACCAATTTTAAGAGAAGTTTGTGATAAATGGTCTCATGAAGTTGAAACTGCTTTTATTAATGCATTAAGATTGATTCTAAAGAACGGTACATATAAGATTAAGCTATTAGATAAAAATTATGGTAGAAATGAGTTGATTTCCATTTATATCCAATATAAGACTGGTGAAGTTAGAACTAAGAAACAGATCTCCTCGCATATTCAAGTATGGAAAAAGGCAATCTTAAATAAGATGGCAAACGGTGTACCATTATCAGAATTAGAAAAGGAAGTTTTAAGATTAATTGAACACGGTGTACAGCAGAATGAACACACTGTTAAATTATTCTATTCAGTTTTCGAAGGTATTATAGATCCATGGTCTAAACAAAGTGATGACTTGAAAGTTAGTAAGAGTACTAATATTAATAATATTACTGGTATTAACGGCCAGCCTACGCAACCTCAAAGCCATCCAATTTCTATTTCAAACTCTGCATACATGTTCAATAGAAATGATTCAATATCTAGTGTAACATCTACAGCTAATGACATTGGCCCTAATAGAGCAAGTATTGCTTCAGTTGCTACTACAGCAAGAACAAGCGTTGCTTCTGTAGGCAAATTACCATCTTTGCCAGGACAAATGTATCACAACAACGTCTTATATTCTCCTCATCATGAAAATTCTTATGGTACAAACCCATATGTGACGAATTCTAAAAATCCAAATCCTTCAGTCGTATCTGCTGTTGAAGATCCTATAAATGAAAATAGAAGAGTTTCTATGTTCAATTCTATGTATCAGAATCAAGGAAATCATGAGGTTAATCCAATTTATCACAACCCATACTATGTTAACCAAGGAAATATAAATACTGCATCGAGTACAGTGGCAACACAAGCTACTGCTTCTACTTCAACAAATACTATAAATTCAGGTTCAATAAATGGCAATGCCGTCACTCCAGTAAATGCTCAAACAGCACCTGGTCAACCTACTTCAATTAACCAATCTAATCAAAATACATCAGAAATGAATGGTAGTTCTTATAACCAATTAAAGTTGCCACCTGTTTCATCAATACCCTCATTTAGATCAAGTTTTACACATCCAAGTACAGCACCAATAGTTTTGTTACGTCAATCATCTCAGTCTAACACTAATGCTACTACACCAAGTCAAAGTCCACCAAAAAATGGACCAGTAACATCCTTACCACCACCACAAAATATCATATATTCAAATGATGGAATGTATTCCAAAGCATATGTTCAAGATAAACCTCAACCTCAACAATACCAACCAGTAGTTATGGCCCAGGCTCCATATCCGGTTAGATCACCTTCTTTAAATCAAACATATAATGAACAAAATGTCATTTTATCTCAGTCGAAATCTCACGTACAATATGTCCAACAACCAGTTACTCAACAGGGAATTCCAATCCAACAGGTTGTAGGTTCTCAAGTACATGCTTATCCACAACCGGAGTATGTTCCTAGATATAAGTGAATGTTTCAACTTTCTCATTATTCAGTCAGATTTTATGAATCAGATTAATAAGTTCACATTTTTGAAAAGACAATATTTATTGGTAAAATATTATATCGACAATCTGCCTTTCTAACCCAATAATTGGGTCGATTTTTTTACTAAGAGGCAGACAAGTTTTTGCATTATTTCCTATCCAACTCCTATTAAAGTTTATCTTTACTAAAGATATTTAATGATTTCTTAACTAACAGACAGAAAAATTATTGACAGTCATAATTTGCTCCTCTGTTTAGTGTTGTAATAAAAATAGAAAGTTTTATTTCTCGTAAAGTTTTAATATAAATAGTTAAACTATGTTATGTCCTAAATAAATTATTATATATAAACTAATGTTTTAACACAATAATATATGATATGAAACTAAATTTAATTTCAATTATTTGACCAAGCAATCAGATTGTTAATAGTAACTTTCTTTCTGGAATCGTATCCCAATTGATCGAAGAACTTTTAATTTATGAGAAATTATTTAACTAGTTTTATATTCATAGAGAACAGTTATGAATTTCAGTTAATCCTTTGTAGTAACCAATATAGTTTCAATATCTCAATTTACTTCATTATTGATATTATATTACCAACCTCCAAAATTATCTCTATATCTAATCTTACTTCAACAATATATATTGGCATTTAATATTTACAAAATTATTATGCTATGTAGATTCTGAGAAGAAATCATGGAGCTACTTTATTAAATTTAGTGTCTGATTGGTTTTAGTAAATATTATCTGATAAGGTCTAGTAACGGTTAAACTTTTTTGAACATAAATATAATCTTGAGTTATTATCATAGAACTTTGTTTAGAAATGTTATTCTCATTTTAATAAAAGTAGTCTTGATAATAATAAAATAATAAGCTTCAATAAATTAAAGGAGAATTTAGTAAAGTCTGTTAGTGTATTTTCTGACTATGTAAAATAATAAAACATTTTTGAATAGTAATATAATAGATTAACGCAAAAGACCATTCCCTCTACTGCTTTCAAGCAAATAACATTAAGTTAATCGACAATATTGTTTAGTTCATACACATCCTCAATTCTTTGGTAGATAATTAAACAAATGCATTTTGAACATACTTCATGATTTGTTCGTTTTGTCTAATATTCAAATAATGATGATAATGTGACATTATTAAACAAGTGAATTACACTTAAAATATACCCAATAATTAATGCAGTATAAAAAATATTACAAGATTAGAATTTATTGTCAATTTATACAATAGCATATCAAAAGGTAACTCAAGGATTGGTAACTTCAGTTTTTGTTGAGCATATCGTTGGGTAAAACGATTTCTAATTATACTTCACACAATTCCCAAAAATATGAACTATTTTATCTTACAAGTATGTTACACCTGTTCATTTTAATAGGATATCTCTAACATCTATAATTAATCTAAATATAACTTATTAACTCTCAGAACTGTTAAACCACTAAAATTATAATTTATCATATTTATGATGTTCAACATTTTAAAATACCTAATAGCTAAATTTTTTGTTTTTAGCCCAATGCCATGTTGGTAAAGAATATCAAGAAACCATTATAACTGTTACAAATTTGACATTGTTCTTGCATTGTTGCAATATAGTAAATGAATTTATCTCATAAATATGTCACATATTTTTTATATTGACAAATTGTTAAGTTTATTGGAAATCCATCTGGCCATTGTGCCAGATAGAGTTGTTTTCAAGTAATTCGTATCTGTATATAGCCAACTGTATTGTAAGAATACCTAATGAATTCGAATGTATTTTGAAGCCAAGATCTAATTGTTATTAATGTATTCTCGAAGTCAAATTACACAAAATAATAAAACTAAAATGGATATACATATTCCACATCTTTGATTTTGTTTATATCGATATTAAGCAAGAAATTGAAATTATAATACACTTCTATCCAAAAATAATGGCTGAATGGTATCGACAGTCATTAATTTCGTTACATTTTTTTCTTATTTAGAACCGGAATGGATGATTTCTCAAATATGAACTTGATCAGAAAATGTATTAAAAGTTCTTTGATAGACTATCACTAGGAGGCTTACAAAGTTATTGATTGGTTTACATTTAACTTTCAATTGTTTTCTAAACTTGATTTATTTTACTATTCTTTAATCACTGACATAATCAACTAGATCGGGTCAGAATGCGGGGCGTTATATAAGTAAAGTTCTTCGAACTTTAAAAAATCGAAATAGCTTAATATTTATATTAGGTTTGCCAACCAAGAAGAGTATGAAATTCTATGATCTATACATAAAAAAGGAGATCATGTGATTTCGATTGTAGGTTTCTACTTATGATGGAAGAGTTAATGGATGGTTTAGCTGGATAATATTGTCAAAATCTGAAACTATCTATATCAATTAAAACATTTAGCTTAGTTTTAAAATAAAGGAAAACAAAACAATCCTATCTTGTTCAAGAAAATACACAAATTTGTAAAATGGAAAATAAAATGAAAATTATATTAAAATATTTTATATATTTAAAGTTTGAGAATAGAGTGTAATGGTACTACTTGTTTAAGCATCTTCCTTCAACAAAGCTTCTCTCTTTTCAGCGATTCTTTGAGCTCTTCTTTCACGAGCAGCTCTGTTCTTCAATCTTCTAGCATCAGCTTCTTGTTTCAAAGCAGCTTCACGTTGAGCATCAGCCTTAGCTTGGATGATGTGTTCGACCAAAGCTCTCTTGTGCTTAAAAGTGTTACCCTTGGCTTCCTTGTACAAGACGTGGTATAAGTGCTTGTCAATCTTACCAGCATCACGGTACTTAGCCAATAATCTTCTCAAGACACGTAATCTTCTGATCCAGACAACTTGAGATGGTAATCTAGCTTCCTTGGTACCCTTTCTCTTACCGTAACCAGTGTGACGACCGTTTCTCTTGGATTCGGCGTAAGCTCTAGTTCTGGATCTGGAGTGAACAGTAACGGCCTTCTTGACGATGGTACCGTTCTTGACCAATCTTCTAATAGATTCTCTGGAGTTGGCTTGGGAAATTTCAGAGGTTTCGTTTGGGTCTAACCAAACCTTTCTCTTACCAACACCGATGACAGAAGCGGCAAGTCTCTTTTGAGTACGTAAGTTAGCCCTGTAATTAAAACATTAAATTGAAATAAAAAATTGTTAGTTAAAAGTCGGAAAATAAAATACAATAGATTAATTGTTAAATTGGAATGATTATTATCTCTTACTGATGATGTTATGAATTTTGATTGAAATTATTCACGATGTCAAGTAAATTCAAATGAAGATAACTGCAAAATTGAATGATGCAACATAATGAGTCGTTATACGTCGTGTACTATGTTTCAGCATAAATTTTTTCATTACTTATTTGAATTATATGTATGGAACATCACTTTTTTAACGATATATTTATCAATTTTTGTTTTCTCTCTATTTGGTTAATTTCTCTTATGACTGTAGGTAGTAATAGCATTATTCTCACGAAGTATTCAAATTAGTAACTCTTAAATATCATCTCATACACTATTATTTCTCGCAAGATAGTACTTTTCACTGCAAAATATAAATGGGAATTTCTTTTCAACTAGGTTGGATCAGTAATATTACATCAAATCGGAATAGATTATTTTATTGGACATAGGATTCATCAATTCATATATCTTGGTACGCATTGTAATTCAATCAAGTCCATTTCTCTAATAAAAATTTTTTTTTCTTTCTCATTACACCATTAATAATTAATAATAAACCATTTTATAAGTATTCAATTAACATACATTTTTGCTTTCGATCGTTACTTGAATTCGAGTACGGTTTACAGTTAATATTAGCAAGAAGCCTTTTAAATATCAAATTCAAGGTATATGTTTTTTTATGCAAGGTATCATGAAATTATTATTATCATCATCACTATGTGATGGAGCTAGTGGCTAGGTAGCACTAGGGAATATGGTGATGTTGGTAGTGTTAATTGGTAGTTTGTTGGAATTACCATCATAGTACATAAAGAAATGATACTAAACTAATGATGGAAGGGTATTGGTGGTAACTTCAATATTAGTTGGCTAATGAGAAGATGATGCAGTAAACCAGCCAAGCGCTGTGAGATTGGTGAAATTTTTAGAAAGTGCACAAAATAGAGATGGTTTAGTGTGCGTCTGTGTGCGTCTGCGTCCGTCTGCGTGCGAGATTGCGTATGTCTGCCAAAGCCAACAAACTGAAAAAAACACAGCAAAATGGAACATACAAGGAACAAGAGTTAGAAAGGGTTGGGTTGGGTTCGTGGGAGGAAGATGAAAAATTACAAAGAGACGGTCTGTCTAGCGAGTGGAAGTGTCTGGAAGGAGAGGTTGCAGTTTAGGCAGGACAAATTAGAAAGAACAGGATGGTTACAAGGAGAACAACTGTTCTGGTCCCAATGGAATGGATAGGAGATGTAGATAGATGGAGACAAAGTGGTAAGAGAAGGAACAAGTTTGCAATGGTATGGATATGAATATGATGGGGATAGAATGGGTTATCTGTTTGTTACCCGTGAGTGGAAGAGATGATGAAGATGATTGAATGTCTCTGTGTATGTGAAGATTAATGGGTTGTGGTGAAAATTATCTATTCGATTACTGAGATCAGAGTGAACTAAACGTAGAAGGAAGGAAACAAGATTGTAGTGGATAGATTGAAGAGAATATGAAGAATAGATAAAATAATATATTGTTGTGTTAGTGTTGTTGATACAGAAAAAATGCATACCTATGAAGGTGAGTATAGTTTATTAGCAAGTATAGGTATATTTATAGTAATATTTAAATTATTTGGTGAATGGGTCTGTAACAAACACTGCAGAAATTCAGAAGGAATACCAAATCTAATGCGTCATTGCATCCTACTATTTCAGTCTTCTCAATTATATATACTTATGTGTTTTTTTTGTAATTTGTTACTTTCCCATACTGCATCGCTTTTACTAATAAGTAAGATGGGCCGAAAATGTAGGCAACACCCATACACCTTCTAATGTACGGGTGCAAAATTTTAAAACAGTCATTCGGATGATCGTTTTTTTCTTCATTAACAGAAGAAAATATATGATCACGTGAATATAGCTTCCTGGTACTATTTGGTTTTTCAACTCATTTGAACTAGGCTTATCGGCATGGGAAGAAGAATCAAACAATTAATATCTGTTGTTGTGTTTTTTTTATTGCCGAAGCTAGCCAAGATAAAGAAATCAGCCATGATTTTTTTTTTAACACGAAAAAAATCTCCACTCCAATATCAAGTTGCCCTCTTTCCTCAGTCATCAGTGTCATCACTTCTTGTATACTATACTACTTCAACCTCAAAAACCCATATATGTTTGACCCAAAAGTAAAACAAAAAAAGTTACAACATATCCACCCAGTCTACTGTACAAATGCTTTTATTCATCTAAAGCACAAGATAAGCAAGCTAAGTTGTAAAAATTACTTGAATAGTGTCATCAATGTGGATTGTAATGAAATAGAAACTTGATAGAAGGGAAACACGAGGTATAGTTATAGATAGATCGATGGTTGCTAATTTCATCTTTGGCATTGGCCTACCATTTTCTACATATTCATTCGTTCACTAATCTTGGTTCTTTACATTGGTATCTCTACTTGTAAGTGAAAAAGTAAACTGAACTTAACTAACTATCTTGCAAAATCAGGAACTTATAATATTGTAGTTTGACTAGGAACAGAATAAAGTGATGAACAACTATTTGCTTCTACGCAAATAATTAAAATAACAAGAACTGTTGTTGTCTTTGTTGCTCCAGTTGTTATATTTAAATGACTATGATTATGTTTCGTTTCCTATTGCGAGGCTAAGTTACAACCATTTGTTCATTTGTTGCAACGCATTCTCTTGCCTACCCATTCGGTGTTATATATATACATTTTTTTTTTGGGTTATTGTTTTGTAGAACCCAATGTCTGGTAGGTTATGGTGATGGTGGAAGATGATGTAGTGGCACCACTTTCTTTTCCTCAATCATATCAAGCCTTCTTTTCTTGTAATAGCAATAGTAATAGTAATAGTAATAGTAATGTTAAAAACGAGTATTGTAAATGGTTACATTACAGGTACATAGCAATGGATATCGGTTAGGAAAAGGAAAAGGAAAGGTGGGAGGGAGAGGTTCTCTTGTTTGAAGATTGTTGGTTATACCTCTTATTACTGATATTGATGTTGATATTGATGTTGTTAACTGTAAACGTGATGATAAATCTTTAGGAATCACAGTAATCAGAATTTTAGTTTTAATGTAATTTTAATATGGACATGGCTTGGCTTGTCTTGGCTTAACCTGACTTGAGGATGAAAAAAAATTAACCAGATAGGCTGATAAGTTCATTCTTTTTGTATGGATAAAATGTTAAATTAAAGAACTACAATTAGCCACAACCCACTTTGCTTTTGCTACTCACGTTCTATTTATCTTCATCTTTTTTCTTCTCATCTGGTTTCACAATTTCGATTTTTGATAAACTATCTTTATATATATAAGGGATACTGTGGTATCGTTATCGATATTAAAGAGCATCTATTATTTTCTTATCAAGTTGTTGCTTAAATAAATAAATTACAACACAAGTAAATATAATTAGGTTAAAGGGGTTAACTATTAGTACTATTATCATTACTTCCCTATAGCAAGCTAGTTTGATAGACAGTGATTTCACGGAATTTATAAACCATCTGTAGTCATTTTGAATTAAAAATTAATAGCAATGTTTTTATTTCTTCCGATAGTATGTGGTATCTCTCATTACGACTCCAATTATAAGCCAAAAAAGGGCAATATGGATAGAAAAGCTCCTCCAATTACAGATTTCACTCACATATATTGTCCAAAGTGTCGTAATTATAGTGCAAAACCAGTTAAAAGAAGAGACTTCTTTTCAGTATTTTTTGTACCAATACTTCCAGTTTATTTTGGAAAGCAAATTCGTTGTACCATTTGCAATTGGAAATATAGATTTCAATCAGACCAGGATTTGTATGGTATAATTGAACAACAGCGTCAAAATATGGAACAATCGGCAACAGGAGGAGGAGGATTTCAACAACAGCAACAACAAGTACCTTATCAACAGCAGCAGCAGCAGCAACAACCCGCTGACAATGGTATTTATGAGATGGTGCCGCAATATGAGCCGCCATTAAATGGAAAGATGCCTGAATTAAGATGAATGGTGGTTAAGTATATCTGAACTGATCTGATCTGATATTTACATTTAATCTGACTGTGTATATTATTTATTTATTATTATTATATCTAATTTATAAAAAAGAATGAATATCTCTTATCTGAACTGAAACTAATAAAAAAACGAACTTTATTTTGAAAGACTACTTAGTTATAGATGAACAACATTATAAATATATATATATTTATGTTGGTATATATATATATATATATATATATATATATATATATATGCGGATATGCACATGTACATAGTATCCTATATTATTATGTAAATGAAGTAATTGTGAAGTTGTTGAGTAGAATGCACGGGAACAAAAGTGTCGATCGATAGATACACTTTTAATTCAGATCAGAAAAGTGAATTAATTCAGTTTGTAGCATGGTTAAAAAGTAAAATGTGACGTTAATAATAAAACAAAACAGAACAGAAAAATGCAATATAATGTGGATGGGTGGGGAGGATATGTGTGCCTCGAATTCAGTAGCAGGTTTGCTGTCATTGATAATAGTTTAGACAGATTATCTAGACTGAACCAGCCAATTCTAATAAGTAATCCCTTGCATCACCTGTGATGTTTGCAATTACTTCACTGTCTCTCAATACATAACCTTCTGATTTATTGTCGTTGAAAATAGTTTGGATATTGTCGTATTTCTTTTGCTTTGCAATGAAGTCATGATAACCCTTAACAGTTGAGATTTCTACTGGAGCACTATTCAAGAATGAGCCTGTAGAGTCGGTGAAATCAGGACCTTGTTTGTATAGTAAAGTTGACATTTTTGAAATATATGGATTGATTTATTAGGAAGTTTGCTTGCTTGTTTGTAAATATATGTTTATATTATCTATAATATATATATAATACTGGTGTTATTTTATATGCAATATTGAATTAGAATAAGAATTGATACTAGAAAAACTATTTTTTCAAGATGTGGGAAGTGAATTTGATAGGAGAATATCAAACTATTTATATATCTTGCACAAAAAGGAATCTAAAATTGGTATTACAAATGTTTGTCTTGTCTTGTCTTGTATTAGGAATTGAAGAAAGGTATTAATAATTGATCCAGAATTGTATAATCGAGTGTAAGGAAAGAGGGAGGATAGCGACTAGAAGAGGTAATTTATTTTATTCAGTTTTGAGTTTGAGCTTGAGTTAGAGAGTTTGATGTTATTTAATTTGGGGGGGGGGGGGAGCAGCATCAAAATCAAAAGAGACTAGAAGAGACTAGAAGGAAGAGAGCGCGAGAGAAGAAAAGGGGTTCGGTAATGAACATTGCGAAAAAAAGGTGTATAAGGAAACAAACAAAGAAAGAAAAGATATTGGAATATAGAGGTAGAGGAAGAGGCAGAAGTAGAGAGATGATTCCACAAACGAGAAAAAAAATAAAGACAAACAATTTAACCAGATCACCGTTTCCGTCCCGTCCGTATAGTGCGGTATATGTGAGAGATAAAGCCAAACCGAAACGCCGAGAACGAATTCCATTTTTTTCTGCTCTCCTTGATTCCTCTGCTGAATTTAATAACACTCTCTACCCAGTTCAACTATTATTAATCAATCAATCAATCAATCAATTGATTTCATTTGGTTGGTGGTGGTTTTGGCTGATTGGGTTGGAGATGATGACAATATAGAGAGGATAAGATTAGGAACATGTGAACTGTGAACTGAAAATAAAATAAGAATGGCATAAAACCCCTATCCGTTTCTGCCTTTTACCGAACACCACCCCTTTCTTTGTTTCTTGATTACGGACGGTGATTTGGTTCTGGCAGAAGTAGCCTGTAGAGGCATTTCCATTCCCGTCACTATCGCCAATAAATGGCACTTTGTCAGAGAGAGTGACCAAGACAACCTAGAACAGAACAGAACAGAAAGGCTTGGTGTTTCTCCCTTTCCCATCACCAGCAACTGCACTGCACTGCAAGATAACAACCAGATAAACAAGTTCTTACCAGAGACTATTGATTATTGATTATGTTGATTGATAACTAATGGACGGTTAGATGAAAATGGGTAGTGTAGTTGTATATTATCTACAAGTTCTCTTCTCTTCTCTTCTCTTCTCTTCTCTTCTCTTGTTTTGCCTTGTTTTGTCCCATACCGTACCCTTATCCTTGTGTCCAACCAAGAGGTTATTTTTGGGTTATGAGGTGCGCGTTCTTGGTTCCACGCTCAGGGAGGAGTTGAGGCTGTTGGAGATACTTTCCTTGTCTCTGATTTGACTTGATTTGACTTGATTTGACTTGATTTGAAGGATCACTGTTGTTTTCTAATTTTTGGTTGAGATAACGATCTATTCTTCTTGTGCCGTTGTCTCTCTTTCCTTCTCTTTCCGTGGCACTGTTGGGGTGGGAACACATCACAACAGAACAGGGGCCCAGCTAGGAGAGACCTACTGTTGCTCTCTCTCTCCCCTCTTCCTCCTACCCCTCCCGTTCATCGCCTCTATCTCTCCTTCCGCGTGACTGGCTGTCGCTATTTTCTCAACAGCGTTTTTGATCTCTTTTGATTAGGCTCTCTCCATTCTCTTTTGTTATGTTTTGTTCGGTTGGATTCGCTTCCCTCCGCCCCCATTTTCATTTTACTTTACCATAAAGCTTTTCCCGTTCTGACGCAACCGGCCTGGACTGGGCTCGGAATCAGATTTTTTTGTTCGGGTGAGGCTGAGACTTGGACAAGAACTTGTTTTTGTTTTTCGTAAAGGGGACAAGACGCACAAGTAGTGAACGGGAGGAACAGAGCGGAGCATACACGCTGCTCTCTCTATACATTAATAGATAGCTAGTTCATCTTCCCTCTAGGAGTTGTATACACTAGATATACATATCCATTGATAACAAATTGCATTGAGAAGCTGACAGAATTTACTTAAATCTACAGTTTAAGGAGTATCTACTATCAAAAAGTTTAAGGGCATGTGATCGTTGATCTTTGATCTTTGTTTCAAGCTTTTGCTCTCACTCTCACTCTCACTCTCACTCTCACTCTCACTCTCATCTCTCATCTCTATTTGTCAGTTTCTTGTTTGTCTCTCTATATACCTCTATTTTATTTGATATAAAATTTTAAAAAAAAATTAAAACGCTTATTTATATACACTTGGTCGTACTATTGTCTACAGTGCATAGTTGATACAATCAACTACGTATTTTGATAACGATCCAGCAGACGTGGTCCTACATGTTATTTCAATCTCTCTACTATCACCATCCGAACTAATTGCACTCTTTAACTTAACTAAACATCCATAATTACCAGTACTTTTGGTATGAATTATACCTGATGCAAATACCGTATTAGATATACTATCTTGTTCAACCACTTGGAATCCTAACCTTTTCATTATCTGTATCAATGAACTACTTAAATCTTGTGCTCCACTCTTTTTAGGTCTAACCACTAACTGATACTCCCCATCGTTTCCTAACCCTTCTCTCAATTGCCTCCATCTACCAATATATTCAGGTAGTGTCATCCCCGGTTGTTCAACGTTATTCACTAACGTGCTGGTCATACCAATACCAATCTTTAATGACAAAAATTGTACACTACCACCACATTTAAAATGAGAATTAAATATCACGGATTTCTCAACTTCAAACGGTTTCCTTATTGTAATGTTAAATTTTTGTTCAATCCTCTTGTGTGGCATTATTGATGTACTACTCAAGGATTCGACATTCTGTATAATATACGACGGACTGTCTTGTAACTGGTATGATATAGTCTCAGTATTAAACCCTGACATTTCCCATTCTGTTTGATTGATAAATGTTAAACTTACTTGTAAAATACTCATCTGTTGGATATCAGGATTCGTTATACGATATAATATTTTGATGAGTGAAGACGAGTATAGAATACCTTGTCTGTGGGATATACTCCTCGTAAAGCCTTCCCTCCAATTACTACTCAGATTTTGTCTAGAATAATAACTATCATTAATGCCATTATTTTTAATAGGTGACGTCACATTACTATTCATTCTACTACGTGATCTTGAAAGCGGTGGTGCTGGCGCTATACCATTATTACTCGACATAGATGATAATGGTGAAGTAGAATTCTGAACCGAGCTTGAAGATTCGTCTCGTCTCTCAGGCGATCCTGCTAATGAAGCTTCTGATTTATTAACTTTTAACCATAATGAACTATTGTTGTTTACTGAAGAATCTGGCAAATTCCCTAATCTTCTTAACAATGGATTAGTACGGCTATTGAAAGAAGGCATACCTGAAAATAATGTGTCAAGTAGTGCTTTATTACCGATGGAATTAGAAATCTGAATAATTTTTAAATACTCGTAAGATCTAGTTTGAAGTTCGATATCCAGAGAGTTTAACTCCAATTGGAAAAATTTTATAACAGCAGATCCGATCTCTGGAGCAAATTTGTAAAGCTTTATCATAGTTGTCAATATCATGCATTTTGTAGTATTGGATACTATAAAATACTTATCCGTGAATAAATTAAATAATTCACCAATTGATATTTTTTCAGTAATTAAATTTGCATATTCACCAATTAAAAATGCACCTGTAGCTATTATAGTTTCGCTTGTGTTATTATTGTTCAAGTAGTCAACCAATTGTTCACATGTAATCTTATGTAACTGAGGGTTATTGACTACAATTTGAGATAACCTTTCCCAGATTAAGTCATCATTATTAGTTGCATTCGAAGAAATCGATAATAATTTCAACGAAATTTCAACAAACCAATTAGTATCAGTGGCATATTTTTCTGTCAAAACTGCTATCTTTACACTTATGTCTCTTTTCATCTTATTGTCTGAAATTGTCCTCGAGGTTAATATAAATTTCAATAAATGGTTCACAATAATCTTAACATTATCGACATTAGTAAAAGAATATAACAGATCGACAAGTTTTCTCAAAATCGATTGGTCCTTTTCATTATTTAATAACCTGCAAATTAAATTCAAATTCTTTTTACAAACTGAATCAATCACAGTTTTTTCACTGATTGCACAAAGTTTGACAAGTGAATCTAATGCCAGGTAACGAATGTTAGTTTCTGATGAAATAAGCAATGAACATAATGCAGTGGCAGAATTACTAAGAGCTTCTTCAGTTGGGTCTAATTTGGATGCGAAATTGATTAAAGAAAATAAAATCGTATTTTGGACTATGCGCTCCATAGGATCACTTACATCCCTCGTACCAAGTTCAATTGCTTTAGAAACACACAATCTTAATTTCCCTAAATTATCTGTATCTATATTGCTTGCCTGTAATAAACCAGCTCTATTTTCGCTAATTTCACTGCGAGATATTATTAATACACTTAGTAATGATACCAGTTTAGTAATTAACCATGGATTAGGGACATTAGCGAACATGTATTCAGCTGGAAATTGAGTCTCTGCTAATTGTGATGTTCCCCCGATCAAACACTTATACAAAATTTGCGTTAGTTGTGGAATTAGCCTTACACACTGAGAAGGATTGACGTATCTAGCAATAAATTCAATAAGTGGAAGCACAGAAAGTAGTAATCTGTAATTTTGGGAATCATCTAAAAGACTTAATATACGTTGGATCCAGTGGTTTTGCCGTTGTAAATCACCAGTTAATATATCAATGTTGGTTTTTAGCAAAGTGAGGAAAGATAGGGCAGCCTTTTTCTTTAAGTGTTCGGCTGCTGTTGGTGATCTGATAATTTGGAAAACCTCTGTTATCACGTCATCATTATAAGCTAATCCATTTTTTAACCTACCCACAACACCTATAAAATTCAATGCCAATGCTACGGTGTCATCATTACTACCAGCTAGATCTTTAACAAGCTGTGCTGTAACTAGATCATCCACCCTATTCACCACTTCTTGATGCTCATATAGAATTTCTAGAGTCATATAAGCCATATATTTTTCACTGAATACATTCGATTTCAATAGTTCTACCATTTCATCTAGACCAAATAAAATATCACTCAATTTAGTTGTATTCGATGTAATGTATATGTAAGCCAATTTGGATACATATTTTTTTCTTTGATACCCAGCAAGTTTATTACTGCTGTCAGATTTTTTACGAGATGAAGTAAATTGCTGTTTAATCTTGCTCAGCTCAGCCTGTATTCTTCTCTCCTGCTCCTGGGATTGTTGAGAAGATCGCAGATCAGCAATGAATATCTGAAGGCCCCTAATATTACTGTTACTATTAGAGGCACCATTGTTTGATAACCCAAGTCTTTTTTCCATTGACAGCCACCTTCCTGTCCTTCAAATTTAATCAAATACCTATCAGATAAATATCAATTGAACACTAACAAATTCCAATAGAGTAGATAGCGTTGTATTTAAAAATAATGGTTTGATCTTTTTTAGATCTTAGATCGAACTTTTCCATTGATGTAGTTTATTAAAGTACGATTCGATAAATCTAATTTCTACCGAAAAGTTTTGTATACAATTAAGCGGAGATGTACGGATGTAGATATCATCGATTTTTGAAGTGTCATAATGATAATGTCATAAAATAAATAAGCATAATCAATGATGATATCTATTGATCAAATATAATGAACAACATTATGAAATAGGTTAATGCTGTTGAATATTTGACACTGATTTTAAAAAGGAAGGCTAAAAAATCATAATGTTAAAAAGAAATTATTAGGTCTTGTTTTTACAAGACCTGTTGTCGACTTTATTTTTCGCTTTGCTAAATTCAGACTTTGTTAGGAATATTAACAAAACATAAAAATTATGTTTTAATTTAAATAAGTATTAGATTAAAAAATTACATATAATTCATAAATTTCATTAAATTCAACAACATTGATAATATCCTAGCTTTATTGATGAGATACAACTGTTGCGGTAACTTGAAACCAAACTGCACCTTTTGGAAGCTTGTATGGATTGCTAATATGATCCTCTACAACAAACCTTTGTAAATGCATGATTTTTCCTACAAACCATTCTCGGTTATTAGGAATGTTCTCTGGATCTTTCAAAAAGTATCTTGCGGTTTCTTCAAATGCAGTAAATGCAGCCCATGGCCTTTTTTCCAAATTATGCTTGTTTTTATCTTTAGCGGTACCTGAATGACTTTGATTTGTAATCGGTTCTCCAAATGGGGGAGGTGTCGACAAATCTACCGATGAAAAGGAAGAATTCCATGACGCTACAGATACGTCTTCTGTAATACAATTTTCCCTAGTTGGAAGAAACAATGCTAAATCCCCAACTTCAAAATTTTTAAGTGTAATTCTTTCACATCTATATTTTTCAAATAAATTTTTTTTGGCCTTATTTTCCTTTGCCAGCTTTTTGGCTAACAACTCTATATCTTCAAATCTTTTAATAACAGCAGTCTCATATAGTTTACAATCATACAATTGATTGATTTTACTCAGCAAACTAATATAGCTTCTGGAATCAAAAGTTTCCTTATAATTTGAAAATAAGGTTTTGACCTCAGAAAATACGTCACTTTTAACAGGCATCTCGATCTCATTCAAGAGACCAGTTTCTTCAAGGACACTCTGGTTGAGATTCTTCTTCAAACCTTTAACTCTTCTTATTTGAAAATTGTCATGCTCATCAAATGTCAACAGTAAACCTATATTTTCTAGTATGAATACATTGCTTGAAAAGATTTCATACAACTTCGAAACTAACATCTCTTGAATGTTCTTCAACTCTATTGCTTTAGAATCTTCAGCCAATTCTTGTGATTTTATAGGCTGGAGTTCTGTCGTATTTGATTTTAACAGTTGGGATTCTGGAGATTGCTCATCTAGAGAATGCATGTCCTCAGATGTAGGAGTCTCAATACTTTGATTATCAATAGTAGCATCATTTTGCCCCATATTTTGTTTCTCACTCTGTTCCATACTGTGTTCCATACTGTGTTCCATACTTTGTTCCACACTTTGTTCCATACTTTGTTCCATACTTTGTTCCATACTTTGTTCTGTACTTTGTTCTGTACTTTGTTCTGTACTTTGTTCTATGCTTTGGTCTATACTTTGGTTTGCACTTTGTTCCGTCTGTTGCTCCATGCTTTCTTTCATATTTTGTTCCTTTGCTGCCTTTATTTCGTCTTCTAGTGCTCTTCTATCAGCTTCAAACTTCTCTGTCAATTCTTTTAATTTTGCTTCGTATTCATCTTTGTAACGTAAGCCTTCGTTTTCCCTTTGTTTCAGGCTGTCTTCGAGTACTTTGTGTTCCTCTCGCTTTTGGTTAAGTTGAGCTAATAAATCTCTGTTACTTGATTCTAATTCCTTAGATTCAATTTTAAGATCTGATATTTGATTCAATAGAGTTTTATTAGAATCTACTAATCCGTCAATTTTTATTTTTAATTCAATTTCCTTTTCGCCTTTATGTTTTTCAAAATCGCCTTCTATAGAAGTTAATCTTGACAATTCTTCATTTAGCTTTGTCAATGTCTCCTTATACGCATTTCTTTCTATTTGTATATCTGAAATATCGGTATTGAATTTGGTAACTTTGTCTTTAAGCAATTTGTTTTCATCCGTTAGAGCTTTGAAGTCGGTTTTATATTGTTTGTTGACATTTTCTAATTCTTTAATTCTTAGTTGATCTGATCCATAACTTATATTCCCCATATAATCAGACTGTAAAGAAAGTTTACTATTTACTGTGGCAACGTTATTTCGAAATAGTTTTACATTTGAATAATTTAATAATCCAGTAGGCCAACTTTCTACGTTTGAATATCGTGCTGAGTGCAACAATAGTTCTAATTTTTTTATTCTTGATTGATAACCATTTATAAGTTCTCCAGTTTCTTTATCACTTATTATGTTTTTAGTTGAAGGTTGTTCAATTACGAATCCTTGAGCGACAGCCAAATATCTTTTAAATAATTCAATCACATCTTTATCCAAATCCAAGTCTTCAACCTCTTTAATATATGTTTCAATAAAAACTAGATTTTTATTGTGTGATTCATTTGAAATGTTCTTGAACAATTCCTCTAATTTTTTGATCATTGATTGGTTCCCTTTTGCAATATTATTTAAATAATTGAAATCTCTTAGAGTATCCATATCTTCGGTAAAATATACAGCTGTTGAGCCAAAATTATCTACCCATTTATTTCTGGTCGATTTCTCCTTTTCAACAATCGTTTTTAGGGATTTATTAAAATCTAAGTGTTTATAATTTATCTGTAAAACCCACGATTCCCGTCTATAATTCTCTATTGAGTACAGTCCATATACCAGTGGTATATCCTGCACATGAGCTAATTTTAATTCAAAACCTTGATATTTTTCTAAATCCTTATTCAATTCGTTTAATAATAGCTTTTTGATATTTAATGTTTCTATTTGAATAAATGAAATTTGTCCAAAGAGCTTTATTGAATCTACCTGTAACTTACTCTTGATCTCCGAGATATCATTTGCTTGAGAATATAAAGCCTTCGAAATTGTAAGTAGGTTCGTTACCGTAACTTTCTTATCCTTTTCCAATGATTTTGCCAAATTTTGCATATAATTTTTATCGAATTCATTTTCATCTTTTTCTAATATTACCTTCGAATCATTTCTTAAATTTTTTACGAGTTCGGTAAATTTTTCTAACATTGTTTCTTCTAATTTATATTTCTCTGAGCTTGGAGTTATCTTCTCGCTTAATGATGATATTTCTTTATTAATATTATTCCTTAAATCAATATTCTTGTCGATAACGATTTTAAATTTTTTTAAATTTGAATTAACACGTTGATCCAATTCTTCAATTTTAGATGAAATTGATACAAGTTCATTTTTATTTAAATATGAACTCAATTTATTCCCATTTATATCAGACAATTTTGTTAAAATATTATCATAGTAATTCAACCAATTTTTCAAAATCTCATTGTTTGCCAATTGATTCAAAAATTTTACATTTGAATTGTATAAGTTTTCGACATCATAGCAATATAGTTCTAAATAATTTTGGCAAATTTTCAAAGATTCAATGATATTTTTAATATAATCTAAAGTGTCACTAATTTGTATCTGAAAATAATGCATATCTATTTCTAAAGCACTTAACCAACCTAAATTTGTGGTTATTAAACTAGTAATGGTATGATAATTTAAAAACTTTTCATTAATTTCGACTTCTTCGTATGGTGAATTGACGGGTTTAACTAATTGATTCAAATTATTTGTTGGATGATTAATACCTTTTAATAAATTTTTAATATTTGTTAAATAGTCTGAAGACAATTCATTATCAGGGTTATTAACCAACGAGAATAATCTCCTATCAAACACGTAAATTGTCGACTGATCATTTTTCTTTCCTATTAGATCAATAAAGATACGATCATTTATTTTATTACCAAACGGCAATAGTAACAATAAGTTATTAAAATCAATTTGCCAACGGTTAATCAAGAATTTTTTAAATTCATTTAATGAAATAAATAACGTAATATCGATCGTGATCAACTCACCAGTAATTGCATTAATTATATTTGAAGACATATGCTTAACATAGGAAACCTTTTAAAAAAAACTGAAAATTAGCTATTCTTTTTTCTTGATTTGCTCTATGAAATTTACCTAACTTTTTAACAATCTCCTACAACAACAACCAAAAAAAAAAATAAAGGCTAGAAAACAATCCAAATAGAATATTTACCCAATCTTTATAACCAAACCTAACTTTCACAAAATTATAATAACACTAAAATATATTTCTAATTATATCAAAAATCCAAAAAAAAATATGTATAATATAATAGATAAGATGAAATAAAATTAACAAAAGTAGAGGTTAATTCAACCAGATATCCGTTTCCTAACTGTATCCCCAGTAAAACAACCAACCTAAAGTTCTTGATATCGATGTAATTGATTGTTAGGTTTACCATAAAACTACATTTATAATCACATTTAGTCCTTTTACGAGCAATACCCAAAAAGCTTTAAATATGATTTCAATATTTTTAAATTTTTTAAATTTTTTTTATTATCCGCTGATAAAGTCAAAAAGAAAAACAAAAATGTTTAAAAAAAAAAATATCGAAATCAAATAATAGTGACAATTGAAAAATAAACACAGTTAGATATTTTATATTAATGTTATCTGATATATTATCAATTGTAATTGTAATTGCAATTGGGAATGGCTAGATGAAGATAATGCATTGCGTGAAATATGACTATAATATATAAACCAGTTGATATTAATAATGGGGAACAGTTTAAGGAGATCAAAAGGCTCATTGATTTAGATTTATCAGAGCCATATTCTATTTGGGTTTATAATTATTTTTTAACCAATTGGAGTGAAATATCGTTTGTTGCAATTGATTCTGATAATTTGAACGACGATAAACCTATTGGATGCATTATTTGCAAGAGTGATATGCACCGTAGTGCTAGAATGCGTGGATACATTGGGATGTTAGCAGTTGATCGTAAATATCGTAAAAAGGGTATTGCAAAGTTACTCGTTAATAAATCTATAGAGAAGATGAAAGAGATTGGTTGTGATGAGATAACGTTAGAGACAGAAGTTGAGAATAAAATTGCGTTGAGTCTATATGAGAAAATTGGGTTTATTAAGATGAAGAGAATGTTTAGATATTATTTAAATGAAGGCGATGCGTTTAAACTTATATTACCATTGACGGAGAAAAGTAGTGTTCGCAGTACTTTTTTACAGGCACCTCAATAATGGTAATAACGTATTGAAGTAGATTTCATGCACATATACATACATTTGTATATATCTTTGTATATATATATATAGAGAGAGAATAATGAGGATAGCAAATGTCTTTAAGCATTTGTTTTAAATTTCGAAGTTTCTTTACATTAAAATAGATTAGATATAAAATTACACAAAATAAATGGTTATATAAGTAGAAGGCAGGAGAGGAGAGGAGGGATGGGATGGGAAGTTGGAAGTGGTGAGGACCAATAAAAAAAAATAAGATAAAATATACAGATTTAAATTAATAAAAGGGAATCAGTAAGGTATGCATGCATTCAATTCGATTTAAATTAAGCACGGGTAGCATTATATAATTCTTTTTCAGATTCATATCTTTTCTTATCAGCTTCAGCTTTAGCGTCGAAAGGTTGCTTGTCTTCATCAGTCATAGCCTTCCATTTTTCACCTAATATTCTACCGACTTGACCGAAAGAGACGTCTGGGTTTTCAGCTTTTACGATATCTCTAGTTTCGTTTGCGAAGAACATATAAGCAGATAAGGCTCTCTTTGGAGCATTTGGGTCCTTCTTTCTTCTGGTAGTTTTCTTCTTAGATTCTCTTGGGGCGGCCATTGTTGTTGTTTGTGAGTTGTCTTGTATTTGACGATAGTTTATTCTCTTTACAAAAGAGATGTAATAAAGTCAGAGATAAATAGAAAAGAGTGACAGTAAATAGACATCCAAGAAGAGTGACATTTACGAGAATAAGAGAAGAGCACGTGATAAGAAAGACACGAAAGAAAAACAAGACCCAAATTAAAGTACAGATCATACATTACGGTAATAGGATATATATAAATATAGAAAAAATCACGTGTAAAACAAAACAAAACAAAAGCTTGAAAATTAAGAAGAACAAGAAAATATCACAATACACGTACAGACACAAGAACCATAATCAAAAACATTAAAAAATAGAATCAATAATGAGACCCATAATTAAACATAACCAAAAAAAAACAGACATAATAGAGAAGGTTAAATACTACAATTTTTTTTAAAAATTGGGACAGCATAGCGTTGCATAGTTGTTTATGTTATTATTGTTATTGTTGTTGTTGTTTATTTTAACCTTAACACTTATTTTTTTTCACAGCTACAGCTACAACTAAATTAAACTAGATTGGTATCAGATTAAATCATTTGTACCACTAAAGCAGTAGTGAGAGCCAACGGCCACTATAGTGGTAATATACAGAGTAACTAGTACTGGTGCATAGTAATAAAACATAGTAAGGTAAATAATACTAATACTAATACATACACTAAGTAACCACAATAGATAACTAAGCAAAGTGAAATTGAAATTGAAATTGAAGTTGAAATTGAAATTGAAATTGAAGACGGGAAAAAAAAAATAAATAAATAAAAAAAAGAGGGACCTGGAAAGTGCAGGCTCTCTGAAGAGATACCCGTGGAGAGAACAGTGAACGAAGTGATGTTTAGGCGTTATTCATATTATTTTTATTCCAGTTAATTAAATTAATTAAATTAATTACTTATTTTATTGTTCATAAAACAAACAGAACTAGCAAAAGCTAGCAAATGCTCTATTCTTGCTGGGTCTCTTGTGCAGATTCTTCTCTGTTCTAATTTCATTTATTGTTTGTTATTATTAATTAAATGTTTCTTGTTGTTCTCGATATTGATGTTTATACTGCTGTTTATTTTTGACATAGGGGGAAAATTGTATACCGTCCAGTCGAGTCCAGTCGGCAGGAACAGTAGTAGAAGCAGCAGCACCAGCACATACGGGCGGAAACGGTACAGGACAAGAAAAGACAAGACAAGACAAGACAAGACAAGGCGAGACAAGAAGATATTCCATTCCAGCTGCACAAGTGAACAAGGATATGTCTGATGTTCATTTTTGACGGCAGTTTGATGATGCGTGCCAGCATAACTACTCTTGCACTCAAGAAGAAAAAAATATGAAAAAATAAACAACATACATACACACATACATAGTATAATCTGGATGTGATAAATGCTTGGGAAATTGGATCAAGCAAACGGTTAAGGTATACGTTTTCTCTCGGTCAGTTTGACTGCCTACGCGAAAGCAAAACAAGAACAAGAAGAACAGCAACAGCAAGCACTCTTGTTGTAACTTATGCCTGTGTTTTAGTATGTCATGCTATGCTATGCTGTGCGGTAGGGGCTGAACTTGCTAGTTGTGGCGTTGCAGTTTATTGCCATTCTGATATTTGAGCAATCACACTGCAAAATTGTATGTTGTGTAGTGTTGTTGTGCTAACTGAGAACTAATCTTCCATCTCCCATTCATTACTCAAAGCGTGAGATGTAGCAAGAATTACTTTAACACAAAACCAAAGTTATTGTGAACTGAATTGAAATTGAGTTGAATTGAGTTGAATTGACTTTCAATTCATACCGTCTGTTTATTATTCCATTCCATCCTATTCTACCCTACCATCCATACATTATTAATATGCGTTTGTTTAGTTTCTCTTGGCTTGGTATACGGGAGGAAGGGAGGGAGAGATACACACACACATAATTCATACCATAAGAGAAACAGCATACCCTCGTACTTAAGGATTTAGAATTCGCTTCTTATCTCCCTAGCGCTCAGAAGAAAAAAAACAGAAAGCTCAATTTGTGTTGTTTTGTTTTGTTTTGTTTATTATGTATCTTGTCCATGTGTGTACTGATTGCACTGAAACTGAGCAGATTAATTGGGGGAAAAAGATAAAAAGGGATGGATGTCTCTCTCTACGAGTAATTAAAAAAATACACACACAGAAAAAGACACACAGACAGACAGATTTCATCATTCCATTTTCTTTTACCCGTTGACAAAACTGAAAAATTCAATTTTTGCCTTTTTTTGTTGAATTTTTCTCAAACCTGTCCGTCTGTCGTTCGTTCGTTCGTCCGTCGTCTCATCTGAAGATCGATTACTTAAATTTTCTTGGAATTGTGCCCACTCTTAGCCCATTATATCAGCTATTCCTAATTATGCTGAACGGGCAAACCATCAGCACCACTTCATTACAGATGAGATAAGGTTGTTTTGTAGTGTTTTATCTTCAACTGATTGATTCTTGTATTATTCCCTCATTCCATCTGAATCATTCATATTCTTATCCACACACACACACAAATCATAATCATAATCATAATCACAATCACATATATATATACACAAACGTATTTGCAGATATGGATCTGAGTGTCGAATATCTTACAAACACCTAGATTCAGCGCCATTGTTGTATTTCGTTTTGCTTTGCTTTGGTGTGCTGTGTCAGTCAATTGATAGATATAGATAGAAAACACTTGCTATAAAAAGAAACATAAAAGTGAAAGTGCAAGAAATTTCAAGATAGTTCAAGAAATCCCAAAAGTGAATCCATTGATCAATCATCTAATATTCATTAATCAACCATGTCTGCTGTTTCGCTTGCAAAATATCTATTCTATCTATACCTTATCTCCTCTTACAAATCAGTTCCAGGTGCTTATTTCGTAAGATTCTACTACTACGCTATTAGAAGATTGATTTTACCTATCTTTGCCGGTAAAAACACTAAAACTATCCAATTCTTACAAAATAATGAACTAGGTTGTTTTGCACATTCAAAAATAAACACATACGCATCTCCCTTTGAATGTGATCTGTACTTCCATAAAAATAACGCGACTTATTTCACAGAATTAGATATCTCAAGATGTGAACTAATGTGTGGTATCTTTCAGAAACTATTCTTAGAATCAAAAAAATGGCCCTTCGTCCCAGTAGCAAACGTCTTTACTAATTTCTTAAAAGAAATCAAACCCTTCGAGTCTTATTCCGTCACTTCAAATATTTTATGTTGGGATGAAAAATGGGTTTATGTCATGAGTAAATTCACTAAAAAAAACAATACCGTTTTATGCTCTCTATCAATTACAAAATACGTTTTGAAAGATGGTAGAAAGACTATCCAACCAATTGAAGCTTTGAAATTCTGTGGTTGCTACAATGAAAAAGTACAGAAAATTTCAGATCAGAATTTAGATATCCTACAAAATAAGTCAGGTTTCCATGAAACTAAACCTTTAGAAGAGTTGGATCATTTCTACATGGAATTAGTATAATAAGAATACAAATCAGGCTAAATATTCTATTCTTTGTATATAGTAATACTCAAATACACTCATTCATACAGTATTTTCTTTAACTCACTCTCGAATCATCGGCGGCTAAAGTTGAAACTCCTGCATAGAGTCAGGGTAACACTAGCAGATTTCCATCAATTTTTTTTTTTTAATTTTCTTTTTGCTAATGAAATGAAGCCACAAAAAAATTAAGGTTATATATTTATATTTATATATATACATACATATACATACATTAGAATAAAAAAAAGAAGACAAGAATCGAATATAAAGAAATAAAATAAGGACAACTGACCTTCTTAAATTGATTTTAAGAAGGAGGGAAACACATAAATAAATAAAAGAAAGCCATCTCCTATAACCTCATATTAAATTCGAGTAATTTTTTAACTAAAATTATCTACTGTTACTACAGAAACAACAACCACACCTTTACCCTTTCTACTTTCTAACTCACTTAGTTCATCAGAGAAAAGATACTCTAATTTATATATATATATCCGTCTCTTTCTATTCTCTGTAGCAGTAATGGGTAACCAATTGTCTTTGCTTCTGCATCAATCATCTGCTTCAATTGCAGTATCTTCATATATCGATATTTTAGATGAGGTACATTATTTATCGCAATTGAATTCTTCAAGTTTTTTAAGAACTTGTAAAGCTTTGGATCCAAATGGTAAAATTATCATCAAAATATTTATAAAATCAAATGAAAATGAAAATTTAAATAATTATCAAAAGTTAATCAATTTACAATCAAACAGTTTAAAGAATTTACCAAATGTATTAAATTACTCAAAAATAATCGAATCAAATAGATGTGGTTATTTAATCAGACAATTTGTACACTTCAACCTTTATGATAGATTAATTACAAGACCCTATTTATCAAAAATTGAATTGACTTTCATTACTTTTCAGATTCTAATCGTTTTAAAAAATATTCATGATTTAAATATTACTCATGGTGATATCAAGACAGAAAATTTATTGGTATCAAGTTGGAATTGGATTACACTCACAGACTTCACCTCTTTGATCAAACCTGTCTATCTACCCGAGGATAACCCCGGTGAATTCTTATTCTATTTTGACACTTCAAAGAGAAGGTCTTGTTATCTAGCTCCAGAAAGATTCAATACCACCTTGGCAAATGAAAATTACAATACCAATGCCAACATCAATTCTCAACAACAACAACAGCAACAACAAGAGCAGCAACAGCAACAGCAAGAGCAGCAGCCGCAGAAACCGCAACAACAGCAGCCACACCAGCAGCACCAACAGCAACAGCAGCAACAACAAAAACAATTACCTACTCAGACAGCAAAAGTAACGAAAGAAATGGATATCTTTAGCGCCGGTTGTTGCATAGCAGAATTATTCTCAGAAGGGAAACCCTTATTCAATTTATCCCAATTATTCAAATATAAAAACAGCAATAATAATTACGATATAGAAAAAGTTTTAAAGGAAAATTTGAGTTCAAATTCAATTGAAATTTTACCCTTAATTCTAGATATGATAAATTTAGATCCATCCAAGAGATTATCAATAGATGAGATTTTAGCAAAATACAGAGACATCATTTTCCCTGATTATTTTTATAATTTTACTTATGATTATTTTAGAAACCTGGCAACTGCTGGTACGAGCGTACCAATAGCTGATAAAATTTGTGTGCATTCAACATTATCTGATAAAAAATATATTTTCGATGAATGTTGTGAAAAGATTTATAATGATTTTAATAAGATTTCTAAATCATTAGGTTATGATTATAATATTAACAAACCTGAAAATTCTATAAAGTTAAATTTAAAAAATTCGAAAATTAATGAATTTTTAAAAAGTTTAAATTTATCTTTATTAAATTTTCATTCTCACGATTCAAATATCATTTCAAACCAGTTTAATTCCAGATATTCCAATGATTCAAAAAATAATATAAATGACGAAGCCGCCATATTTTTCATATCATTTTTATCTCATAGTTTAAGAAATATCATATCAAGGGAAACAAAATTAAAATGTATTGAATTATTAACTGCATTTTCACAATTCATCTCTGATGAAAATAAAATTGACAGAATATTACCATTCTTAGTTTCTTTGTTTGATGATAATGATATAATTGTTCAATCTTTTGCAATTCTATCGGTGACACAAATATTAAACATAATAGAAAACTTAAATCCAATTAATGAGAATATATTTGTTGATTATTTACTACCGAAGATGAAAAAACTTTTACAATCACCAAAACCAAATACCTATTTAAGAATCATTTTTGCATATTGTTTCGGTGATTTAACGAATAATGCAAATAGATTTCAAGAATTATCGTTTTATTTGGATTATAATGACGTACATGAATTATTATTAAATGATTTAGAAACTTTAGATATCAAAAATAAGTACATGAAGAAATTGTCACAACAAATTGAAGAATTGTCCATCTATCTGTTAACAGATAATGATTCCAGGGTTAAAATAGCTTTATTGGTTAACATCCTCCCCTTATGTAAATATTTTGGCAGGGAAAAAACAAATGATATCATTTTAAGTCATCTAATCACATACTTGAATGATAAGGATTCTTCTTTGAGAATTCAATTAATTCAATCAATATCCGGGATATCAATTCTTTTGGGTCTTCTTACCGTTCAACAGTATATTTTGCCGCTACTAGTTCAAACAATAACAGATCCAGAGGAATTGGTGGTAATTACGGTATTGAAGACTTTAATTGATATTTGTAAAATTGGATTAATGAATAAGAAATTTTATTCAGATATAATAGAAACTGTTGCTCCTCTTCTTCTACACCCAAATACCTGGATACGCCAGTTTTCTATTAGATTAATTGTAGAATTTTCAACAAATTTATCAAATGCAGAGAATTATTGCATTTTGTACCCAATAGTGAGACCATATTTCGAATTTGATGTGGAATTTAATTTGGAATCAATGATCACAAGTTGTAAACAACCAATTTCAAGAACTGTTTATGATCTTTTGTGTAGTTGGTCGTTACGAAGCTCAAAAACATTATTTTGGAAACAGGTGCCAACAAAGGATGTAGATTCATTCGGCAATAATATAGTTAATTTTGTCACAAAAGATTATTCAATTAAAAATTATGGTTTTAACGCAAATTCATCAATTAGAGCCTCGAAATCTTCTTTGAAAAATTATGATAACCAAGAGATACCACTAACAGCAGAAGATAAAAATTGGATAGATAAATTTAAAGCTTTAGGATTGACTGATGATGAATTGTGGAAAATTGCAATTTTGAGAGGTTATGTATTGAGAATTTCAAAAATGTTAAATAGAAAATCAATAATCAAGAATAATAATGGTAATAAAGACCTTGTGAGCACAAAGCTTTTAGAATTTCCAAATATTTTACCAAAAAATGTATTCTTTGATGTTACTTATAATGACACTAAAAATGTCATCCATAAAAATTTAACAAAAGTACAGGAAGCTGCTAAAGATAACAATATCGAAAGTGTCGATACCAATCATATGAACGACATAGGTCATGTCTTCGATTTAAATGGCTCACTGATTTTGAAAAATAAAAGTAATCCAATTGTAAATTCTAATTTAGAGAATATTTATGTGCAGGTTGAACCTTCAAATCAGGAGGGCATTTTTGACAATGATAATTTAACAGAAGATTATATTAACAAGGAGAACTTTATCGTTACCAATAGTTACGAAGGAAATGAAAAAACAATCAAAAGATTCTTGGATACTTTCGATATTGAATGTGAGTTAAGCGAATTAAAAGAATTCGGTCCTAAGGTTTCAAACTCATCAAACTCGTTTAATCTCGTCAATTTTAAACAAAAAATGATTGTGAATCTAACAGAGGGAGAATCAAACTCTTTTACTTCTATATCCTTATCCAATGGCCCAATACCATTTTTAGTTACCGGCACTGTTGAAGGTATACTAAAACTATGGGATATAGCAGATATTGCTACTGGCGAGGTATATTCTTGTTCAGTATGCTTTGATTGTTCTTCGACAATTACTAGCATTATTATGATTCCTGGATATGATTGTTTTGTTGTTAGCACAAAAGATGGAATTTTGTGGATTTTCAGGGTATTGTTCACTTCATCAGATAAAAAGAACCTAGTCAATACTATCAAGTGTATTAGAAAAGAAAATATTAATAATAGCAGTAGCCCAAATAAAAGTATTAATACTAGATCACCTGGTAAAGACTTATACGCTATCAGAGTTAAAATGTCATTTATCACTGGTTCTCCATTATTATTTGTTTTGACAAATAAGTCAACTGTTATGGTTTACGATATTAGGGATATGAGATTGAAACATACCATTAAGAATCCTGTTGAATTTGGTGCGGTCGTATCATTTACAATAGACAACAGTTCTTCAACCTTAATACTTGGTACGATCAAGGGTGTTATTTGCATATGGGATCTAAGATTTGAAGTATTAATCAGAAGTTGGACTTTCGGGGATCATACTTCGATTACAAACATAGAATCTCTCGATTCGTACGGAAAATCGAGTATTGTTGTATCAGGAGGATACACAGGATCTCTTTTCACTATTTGGGATTATTCAAGAATTCAGTGTAAATATGCATTTATTAATTCCGAGAACGAACCTCCTATTGAGGTATTTACCCCGATAGAGAAGGATATCAAATCCATAGTTTCCAAATTTAAGATAGTTAAGGTAATATCCACATACCTATATGTGAAAGACTTAACGATTTTTACATCGGAAATTCTGGAAAATAATATAATTGCATTTGATTTAAAAAACTTAAAATCATCAAAATGTATCATGAAATTATCAAGTGCTGTTGAATTTTCAACTCGAAAAGTAACCCCTCATCTAACATACGTGTTAAGAAAAAGTACTGTGGAAAAAATTGGTATACCCAATAACCCATTCCACAATGACATTATAAATGCAATTGAAGCGACACAAATGAATAATTCATGCATTCTTATATCTGCAGATAATTCTGGAATACTCAATGTATTTGGATGACTTTATACTGTAGTATTAAATATTTTCATGCAGAAAACTCGGTAATTGTACCGACAATATACCGATTAGTATATACAGAAAGACATCGGAATGAATAGGCTTTCTGGCAAAGACTAAAAATGACATTTCGCATACATTATTATACTCTATATAATTTATAAACCTATTTTATTCTAGTGTTATTTTTTTTGATAAATTCATCCAATTTATAAACGAAATCCAAACCTACAGATTTCAAGTCATCAATTTGTTTTCTAGATGATTTGATTGATTCTGGTGTTAACATTTCATCGTTTAGTAATTGTTTGTCAATTAATTTGAAATGATTCTCCACTTCACATTTACACCAGTTTACTAGAATCGAAGAGAACTTATCACTGGCACCTCTGAAGATATCCTCAAAGTTTAATACAGTTTTCTTAATTATCTGAAATCTGATAACAGCTATTTGGGTCAAATAATTAGTTGGATTATCGTATGAACCTATTTGTAATATCAAATCTTGAATTAAAGTGCTTCTATTCTGAAGAAATAAATCAAGACCCTCCTCAAATAGGCCTAATTTTATCATATCACTGACCCCTGATGTTAATGGTCCAATATCAAAAGTGCTGACTATTTTGTGAGAAAGTGATGCAATAATATCTTGTCTCCTTTGATTTATTTTCAAGGATATTAAACTATGTAATATTTCATTTTCATCATAGACTTTATCCGAAATATTATTCATTTCTGATTCCAAGTCTAATATTAGTTCAACTGCTTTGTCAAATTTTAATCTCGAAGATTCTATATCAACTTCTTCAATTGTGTTATCAATGTGTTTTAATCGAGAAGATATAGAATCCAAATCCCTTGAACGAGTTCTTGAATGCATAGACATCGTGATTGTCTGAAGCAAATACTGATCAGTAACATTACCTGATTTACTTGGAGTGACATTATTTAAACTATTTCTCTGTGTTTTAACAGGACTTCTCATGTTCTCTCTCGTTGCACTTTGTTGTGATGATAAATATGTAAAGGATTCCTTTAACTTTTTCGATTTCTCTTCTTCAGCTTGAAATATGTCACATAAATCGTCCTTTGCTCTTCTAAATACATCTAAAAATTGAAGACATTCCTTAGGATCTCTACTTTGATACATTGCCTTGTTAGACGAACCAAACTGAAAGATCAGACGCCCTCCAGGTGTATTATCCAATTGAACAGTCACATCCTTTAGGTTCATACTTTGAACTGCAATTAATTCATTTTGCTTATCTCTAGTTTTTTGGGCAATCAGTATTGTATCGTTCAAAAGAAAAAGTTTAACATTTTGAAGTGGTTTTAAGGTTGTAACATTCAATTCTACCCAATTATCACTTTCTAATAAGACGTGTCTACCGGGTTTTGCAGAAACCATTTTCTGTGCACCTTCTACACCTTTAAACAATTTAGTCAACTCAGCATCCCAAATCTTTTCTAGTATCATGACACTTGAACGATCTCTTCTAAACCCACCCCTGCTTGATGTCCTCATTGGAGGTAATAATCCAGAAGCATTAGCAGATTGGGCATCATTTTGATTTTGGTTATTAGATTGTCTTTCGAATTGTAATCTTTTTTCTGCTAGTACTAGAAATTGTTGCATTACTTCATATAGTTCATTAATACCCTTTCGTAGTAATTTTAATTCAGAACTAGCGACATTTAAATCATTATTCACTGTTAGAATTTCTTTGTAAGACTTATTAACATTTTGATTGACTTCATCTTGAACCGCTAACGATAAATCAGATAGGTTAGATGTGAACCTGTCAATTTCCATGGCAGTAGCATTTCCTAAATTATCATGGACAAAAGTTTTAGCATTAAAAGTCGGATCAGCTAAGATTCTTCTCAATGATTTTGTTTGTAAGATATCAGATGGAAATGATCTAGCATTATTAACAGGTACTGTATGAATAGCAGAACCTCTTTTCTTTGTAGCTGAATTTAAGGGATAATTATTTTGATTCTGAATATCAGCATTAGACAATTCGGTATCTATCTGTTGGTTCATCATTGTCATTTCATTAGGCATAGAAGGCAATGGTGCATCAAAATCAACTTTCATAGGAGCATAATTAGCATTATGGATTGAAAGCCTCCTTTGCATTGAAGAAGCAACTTTTGTTCTCTCCTTAGCATCTATTGTAGGCAACTGAGAATACTGAGCAGATACCTTCATATCAGTGTAAGGATTCCTCTTACCATCTTTTTGTTTTACCTTTGAAGGAGAAGGAGGTGATTTTTGTTTCGTAGGAGAGCCACTAGTAACATGTTTCCAATTAGTTCTTGCCTTTTTAAGTGAAAAGTCTACCATCTTTCGCAAATCTTCTTATATATACAATAGATATACAGACCAACACCGTGTATCCAGATGTAATCTATCAATTAACTCCAAATATACCTCTTTGCTACACTTAAACCAAATCAAAAGTTAGTGCCTTTAATATTTAAAATTCATTAACTGTTATTTTTCAACATCAAAATTTAAAGGTGAAAAATTATGAAGACAACAAGAATCATCAACAATAACAAGAACCAACGACAATATATCAACAAAGGTGTGGTGGATTGGGTAGCAGTGTAGTTCTAGTTGTATTTAAGACATATAGATAAAGTTGAGGTCAGTTGTTATTTGAAGATTTTGTTTTGTAAGCTTTTAATTTGAATCAATAAGAGAGTGAGAGAGACCTCTTGAATTAGATTTTGGAATGAGTATTACAAGTGAAGAGTTAAATTATTTGATTTGGAGGTATTGTCAGGAGATGGGGTTCGAGGTGTCTGCTTTGGCACTTCAGGATGAGACAAGGGTCTTGGAATTCGATAATAAGTATAAGGAACATATACCTCTGGGGACTTTAGTGAACTTGGTTCAAAGAGGTATATTATTTACAGAAAGTGAATTTTTGGTTAAATACAATGGTAAGATCACACCGATAGATGAAACTCATTATTCACAGGATTTCAATCTAGCTCAGGCATTGCAAGTTGATAAAGAGAAGTATCCTGAAATATCATCAACAGGTAGATTTTCATTGGAAAACGATTCGTTTGAAAAGGCAAACAATGAGAATGTAGTGGCAGAGAACAATAAATCAGATGAAAACCAAAATGATCAAAGTATATCGAGAGATATAATAACAAAAGTTCCCTCTCCGGTGGATAGCTTTATTAAAACATTACCTGAAGTTTATAAACTTGATAGAATTACGGTTTGTAGTTGGAATCCTTCTGATCCTTCATTAATAGCATATGGTGAAAAAACATCGATAGCCAAAATAATAACAGTTAATAATGCAGATTGGTCTGTTGTAAATTCAGTTGAATTAAGGCATCCGTTTGCAGCAAGTTCAACTACTAGCAAAGATACCAATGAAGTTACATGTCTTGTCTGGTCTCCAGATGGTGAACAAATTGTAAGTGGTGTTGAAAATGGTGAGTTAAGGGTTTGGACAAAAGACGGTCGTCTATTAAATGTTTTGAATTTCCATCGATCACCAATCATCACAGCTAAATGGAATAAAACTGGAACTTTAATACTATCTTCAGATGCAGACAATGTAACTATCCTATGGAATGCAGAAACAGGAACTGCATTGCACCATTTTGAGTTAAAAGAGCAAAGTTCTTCGACAGAATCTCTAGGTGTCGATTTAGAATGGGTTGATAATGAGAAATTTGTGATTCCAGGATTGCAAGGTTCAATTGTTGTATATCAAACAGATGAAGCTAAACCATTAGGAAGATTACTTGGTCACCAAAGGGCTATAAGTGTTTTAGAAATGAACACAACTAGTAAACTTCTGCTGAGTGCATCAGATGACCATACGATCAGGATCTGGAGAGGAAATAGTAGTAATCCAAGTAATTGCTTTTATGGACATTCTCAAAGTGTAATATCTGCATCTTGGTTAAATGACGATAAAATAATATCTACATCAATGGATGGATCAATAAGAGTCTGGTCTCATAATACTAACACCTTAGTTGCTGTTTCCATATTCGATGGTGTTCCTATTTTTTCAAGTAAACTATCACATAATAGAACAAAATTTGCTGTTGGGTTCATGGATGGACAAGTGACCGTATTCGATATGAAATCATTATTAGAGAAGATAGATAATAATCAAATAAATTCAACTCCAACACCAATACCTGTATATGGTAACTACCAGAGCAGTAAAGGTGGTGATTGTGTCTTCGATTTATCATGGAGTAAAGATGATAAAGCACTCTCTGTAGCATATTCAATAGGGAACGGTTCAATTATATCAATATAAAAGTAAATATACAATGTAACTATACAATAATATATAAATTTTAATCAAAATGGTAACCATTGTTGATACCTAAGACTCTATTTTTATTCAACCTTGTTTTTATGCGCTAGCGATGCTCTCTCTTGTAGATACAGTAATCGAATAAATTTAAACACATAAAAATGAAAAGTTTCAGTTCTAAAAGATTTGTATTAAATTGTTGTTAAAAGGAGTTTAAAGGTAGATAGATAGAAAGGTAGAAGGTTAACAGACTCTCTGACAGGTATACATTGGTTGGTTTTATTGAATATATATAATCTATTTTTAATTAGTGGTAAAAGATGGATGCGATTGCTGATCNAACGCTCCAGAATACTAAAGTACGTGCATTACAAACTGAAGAGAGCCCATCGNTGTTAACAGTTATTGTTGATACAGCACCAAGACTTTGGACTGATTTGAATAAGAATTTAATGAGGAAGGCGGTTTGTAAAAAAATGGAAACGGTTAAGGGTTCTTTGGACGCCTCTTTACCCTTAAAACAGCTAACCAAGTTGCGGTTAAACCGCCACATCCCAGGAATTAAGTTTTGGTTCCCAAAAGCCGCTCCACCCGAATTCAAATCTAATAAACAAACAAGTAAGAATTTCCTCTTTACCCCA